CATGGGGGGGGAGGGGAGGCTCTAGCTGGGGGCAGGAGGGGTCCCGGCTGGGCTGGGATGCTGCTCGCTGCCACCAGCCCAAGCTGAGCCTGAAGCCTGGTTTGCACTTGATTTGGCTCACACCAAAGGAAGGGGCCTGGTGCCTCCTGGTGGGCAGCACAGTGCCCTGCACAGCTGGAGAGGGGCAGGGCAGGGCACGCTCAGCCAGGCCTGGAGCCCTGCGCTCCCCCGTCCAGCCCCCTTCCCAGAGCCCAGGATTTCAGTGCTGGGCACTGCCAGGCCCATCACTTCCCCGCAAATGGGGAGCTCCCCTCACCAGCCCCCTACCTAGCCATGGACTCCACAGGTGGCCATAACCCACCCCTTGGAGGGCAGCAGCCAGCAACCTTTTCAAGCCATAGGATGGATCAACCCAGCTGTAGTCCAACATGGGCCAAGCAGCTTCCACAGCATGCCAGAAGCAGGGGGCTTCATCTGCACCCACGCCAGGCTAGGCAGCTGGAAGCTGTGCCCATGTCACCACTGCTTTCCCCAGCCCCTGACTCAGCTTGCAGTGGGTGGGAAACTGAGCCAGAGCCTCTGCTAGAAAGCCGGGGTAGGAGAGGGGAGCAGAAATGGAGAAGCAGGGGCAGCCTAGATGCCGCAGCTTGGGGAGGTTTGCAGGTAGCATGTCAAGGCCGCAGCTGGAAGTTGCCCAGCCCTGGCGGGCATGAGCACAGGAAAAGCCCTGGGCTCCATGAGCCACATCCAGTGGCTTTGCAGGTCATATCTGGCCCACAGGCTGCTGCTGCCCCCTGCACTAGGTATCTGGGGGGAGGTGGGGGGGTAGAGGGAGGGTTATGGGAAAACAAGGGATACCCATCCAGCACTGCCCAGGGAGGGGGGTGGGGGGAAGGACCAGCAATGGGGGCTGCATGGAGCAAGCACAACCACTGTGAGAGCTGCCGACAGCTTTGCACCAGCCTCCCCTGTTGCTCTCAGGCACCTCTGAGCCCAATGGCTTGGAGTGACCCATCAGCACTAGCCCAGGGCTGGGACCCCAGGCCGGTCAGAGCAGCCGTCATCTCTCCTGGGTGTTTGTGCTCCTCTCTGGTCACAGTCGAAAGGGGGTGCCCAGCTCCCAGTGCACAGGCAGACACAGAACCACGGTAGCAGTGTGGACAGGGCACCCTGTGCAGTGGCCCCTGTTTGACGTTAAGTGCTTTAGGCTGGCTGGGTGCTCTGGGGTCTCCCCATGGTGCTGCAAGGGTATGAGCCCAGGGGCACCTCCACCTGCAAGCAGGAGCCCCATGTGGTGACAGCGCAGGAGCTCTGCACACTGCCAGCCCCGCGTCCCAGCAACTGCAGAGCTCCAGCCAGGCCACTGAGCTCTGGTGCCAGGGCTGCAGGTGAGACAGCCAGCACCAAAGGGGTGCTGGCTGGAGGAGGGGGTGGAAGCGCTGGCATAGTAGCCCCTGGTCAATCCATGGGGCAGCTCAAGCCATTGCAAGCAAGGGGCTCAGGCTCTCTGCAGAGCCAGGCAGCACTGCTGCACTCCCACCTTCAGGGCTGTGACCCCCTCTGCTCCCTACAGATCCCAGCTGACAGCGCTGCGGTGCTTACACTCGGGTCCCCGAGATCGGATGCTTGTCTCTGTGCCCATGAGGGAAGAAGCTTTTATTCATCGTTCCTGCCAAGGCAGATTGGACACCAGAGCCCAAGTCTGCAGCAGCAGCCGGGGAAGACCCAGGGTCTGACTACTAGACCCAGTGCGGCTCTCCTGCTCCCCATCCCCACCCTCCCATCCCTGCTCTGCCAGGCTTTCCCCAAGGCAGGGGGTAGTTGCAGGGTCTTGCCCGCAGGTGGCACCCATCAGCTGTGTTTCCTAGAGCGGCTCTGCCCAGCTGGGCAGGAAGGGGCAGCCTCCTGGGCCCTTCAAAACCAGCAAGGGCAGGGGCTGTGGGGACTGGAGCACCTGTGTCCTGCCTTCCCAACAGCAGTTGCAGGCTCTGGAGATGCAGTCTCAGCCTGTAGCAGCA